CCCGGGAGTTGGGTAGAAGCAAGCACTAGGCGAGGTGCTGCAGGCTCGTTTAATGCAGGAGGGGCAGGCCTTATATTTCCCTTTTCTCCGCCCCCAAGTCCCTTTAGTCAGCATATCATTTTCTGATTGGTCCACGCCACGCAGCCTGTCAGCTGTCACTGGGCTCTCGAGCAGGGTATGGAGGCGTGGGTTCCTTTTGGTGGGCTATTTGCAGACCAAGGAGTGAAGGGAATTCTCGCTGAATCCCAGGGCTCTGGGTCCGCGCCATCTTTGGAGGCCTCCTGCTACAAGAAAGCCCTAATGTTCTCATGCTACAGCTGGGGAGACAAATACATCAAGTTGCCACTATCACCAGGTGGTTCTAGGATCAACATTCAAATCACAGCAGATTCTCCAACTTTCACAAACCATTCTCAGGTTCATATTCCAGAGTACTTAACCAGTTTCTATGCAGGATTGGATAGACACAGCCAGGCTGAGCAGCTTGGAACTTAGTTAGAGCCCCAGCACTATACAAGAAACCAGAGACTATTCTGCATCTCCTCAATGGAAGACCAAGAGCACTGGTCCACAGGCCAGCCTGGAAAGGACAGTGTATACAAACTCAACATCCTGCACAGTTCCTGCGTCCAGATAGGGTGTAGGAGACAAACACGGTAGAGATTGCAACTGCCAGTGTAACACCCACACTCCTATTTCTCAGCACCAGAATCCCAGTGGCATTTGGGGCTCAATAAAATCCCAAAATTTCCAGTCTTTCTTACAACTAGCTATAGTTATGTATATTCTGCCTAGTAAGATGTGACGCTGAGTGGGGTTCCCAAGCAAGTTCCTTAAAGGAACTTCTGCCCTGCCCATTCCTTCCTCCTTCCTGGAATACAAACATGATGACTGGGACTCTGTCACCTTGGACCAGGAATGACCTTGAGGCTGGAAGCCATAGTCATGTTGGTGAAGCAGAAAGAACTCAGGTCCCTGAGTTACCATGAGCTTTGGACTGATGACTGCCAATTCTACTTGAAAATAAACCACCCTACTAAGTCATCATCACTTGGCCTCCTGTTAGATGCAACCAAAACACTATTGATCCACTGACCATTTTCAGGACCATTTCTCACAGTAATGGAGGAATAAATTCAAAGCCCAATCTGCCAACAAGGGTGTCTCCCAATTGGCTAGTTCCTCCAAGGGGTGGGGCCTGCCATGGACCATGGACTACTGAGGAGCTTCTGGGAGCCATCTTGGGATTGAAGTCGCTAGCTGTGGGTAGTGCACATGGCAGCGTGCATGGCATGGGGAACATCAGCTGCGCAGCAGCTCAGGGACAGAATGGCCTCTTATGGACCTAGGGTGAAATCGCTGGCTAGTGGTGACTATGGGCACGGCATGGTCTGATGATATGGTGGGCTCTAAGCAGTGGCACGGGGCTAGGCACTGGGTACTCATTCCTTTGTAAGCTAATAAATGCACATAAAGATATGTTACATGGTTTACTTGATAGCGCAGGAGACCCAGAGGGAACTCGAATAACAAAGGGATACTTAAAGGCTTGACCCAGAGGGAACTCGAGTGCCAAAGGGATACTTAAAGGCTTGTATTTTAGGAAAAGCAAAATATCCTTAAAGAGTCATGCCTGCTTCCTAAAGTTGACTGCACAGAACCAAGTGTCAAAACCATCATATATATTTCATTCCCAGAATATCATCACTCAGCAGCAAAGAAAGAGGAAGGCAATAGCAGCTTTCAGGCAGCAGAGTAGCTCTTAGGGAAGGAGCCCCTACATATCCTTCCCAGGATCAATGTGCTGTTTAACCCACAGGGTGCAGAGTTGCAAAACATTCTCACTAGGAACTGTAAGGCTTAAACTCCCTCTTGCAGGCTTTTATCACCAAGGTCGTCTGAGGAATCCAACATCTACAAAATGAGCATTACACACCTGCTGCTTCAGGCTGTCTGATGACCCAAGGTCCCAAGCAAGCACTGCAGCTTTGTCCCCAGCAATTAACTGAACTCAGGTTGGACCAACGATATCACCAGTATTGGGCTTTTTGCTGTTGTCATATGAAATGCATCAATGAGGCCAACTTTCTGAGTGGAGCGTGTTTTGGTAGTGCCTATTTGCACCACGCATGCCACCTGTTTTTGATGCTCTACTCCACACTGACTACAGAGGAATACTCATCTCAAAGGATCGCTCATTAGATTCACACATGGGCTTTTCATCTTGACTAATAATGGAGAAAGGGGCATTTTATATACATTTACCAATTTCATCACCACCAGATTCATTTTAAAACAGGCTAGTATGGATTGTGTATGTGTATATATTAGCTATACTGTACAAACGATTACAGCAAAAATTATTTGCGAACAGGCAAGATAGCTTCAGCAAATAAAGGCAGCTGCTGCCGAGCCTAAGGACCAGAGTTTGATCCCCAAGATCCACATGACAGGAGAGAATCAACTCCCACAACTTGTCTTGACCTCCAACAACTGTAATTTAAGTTTTTAAAATTTATTTTTATGTGTATGAGTGCTATGCCCATGCAAATGCACTTGTGTCATGCAGTTCCCCTGGAACTGGTAATGAATGGTTGTTAGCTACCACATGGGTGCTGGGATTTGAACCCGGGTTATCAGCAAGAACAGCCAGTGCTCTTAACCACTGAGCCATCTCTACAGCCCTCCAACAACTGTAATTTTTAAAAATTAAAACTTTAGGCCAGGCATGGTGGTGCACACCTTTAATCCCAGCACCAGGGAGGCAGAGGCAGGTGGATCTCCGTGAGTTTGAAGCCAGCCTGGCTACATAGTGAGTTCCAGGTCAGCTGTGGCTACAGAAAGACCCTGCCTCAAAAAAGACAAAAAAAAGACAAAAAAGAATTGAAATAAAATTTAAAAAATAAATAAAAATTTAAAGACAGAAGTACCATTATCCTGAAGTTTAAAAAAAACAGGCTGGGCATGTGATGGTGCACATCTTTAATCTCAGCACTGAGGCAGAGGCAGAAGGATCTCTGTGGGTTCAAGGCCAGCCTGGTCTACATAGCAAGTTACAGGCCAGGCAGTGCTACATGGGGAGACCCTGTCTCAAAAACAAACACACATAAAACCCCAAAGCCTCTCAATTCAACATGAAGACAGTCTTTGATGCATATGAATAAACTCATTTATGCAGGTCCTTCTCAAAATGACTATAACTGTATCTTCTGTACCATACACTTTTTGGCAATGTGGCTTTGTCCCTCTTTCCAGCAAGGGGTTGGGATAGGGGCCATGCTCCCTCCCCTGGAATCAAATACAGTGTCACAGCAAAGACCTAAAGAAGGAGAGCATGAGAAAAGGCAATACTTTCTACTTCTGAAAGAAGCCTACTACCACCAACCAAGTCCACAGCCCCCTACCAAAGCCTTTATAAGCTCTTACAGCCATCAGCACTGTCGAGTTCTAGTCTACAGCCACCATTGGCTCAGTCAGGCCAGGGAGCCATCCTCAAAGTTCCACCTTATTAAGCCTTCAAAAGGAAGCAAGCAGGCCTGGCTGACATCTGACCACAATCACGAGACCACATGATGAACCACCCAGATGGAACCCTTCCTTAACTCACAACCAAGAAATTACCAATGCAATGAGGGTTGTTGCTATAAGCCAATATGGGGACTATATTCTTTTAATATGTGTGTGTGTGTGTGTGTGTGTGTGTGTGTGTGTGTTGCCTGCATGTGTGCAGTGCCTACAGAGGTCAGAAGAGTGTTGGACCCCCTGGAACTGGAGTTATGGACAGTTGTTAGCCACCATGTGGGTGCTGGGACTCAAACCCAGGTCCTCTGCAAGAGCAGCTAGTGCTTTTAAGCACTGAGCCATCTCTCCAGCCCCGGGGACTATTTTCTATATAGCAACAGTTACCAGAACATCAACTACTTTGGGTAAAGCCTCTATCAAACTGAGTGTGTGCAAAGGGCGTGGTGGCGCATTCCTGTAGTCCCAGCACTCAGGAGGCAGAGACAGGTGGATCAATGTGAGTTCAAGGCCAGCCTGGTCTACCCAGTGAGTTCTAGGACAGCTGGGGCTACAGGGAGACACCTGCTTAAAAACTAAACCAAACCAAACCAACCCAACAACAACAACAAAAAAGCACAACTAGAAGCAAACAGTACACAAAATATGCACAGCTGGTTCTTAATAGCTGAGGATTCTCTACTGTCAGGTTTAACCAACCTAGGATAGAAAATACTGAGGGGAGAAATTACACCAGTACTGAACGCAATGTAAACCTTTTCCGTCCATTACTCCCTTAACATGACATTTACATTAACCTAGGCAGTCTAAGTAATCTACAGATGATTAAAAACATACTGGAAGATATGTATAGATTATATGCAAAAAGGACACTACTTTGAAGTAAGGAGTTAAGATTTTGTTACATGCAAGGGTTCTGATCCAGTCCTCTGCCATACCAAGGGCCAACTTCAAAACTCACAAAGAGATAAAGGTATTGCTCAGTGGTAGAGTGTAAGCTTAACACACAGCAGGCCCCAAATACCCTAGCACCCTCTTGACCAGCATCTCCTGCGCCCTACAAAAAACTCAGGAGTAATGAAGTTTCTAAGTGGTGAATGGTAGCTATAAGTAAAAAGACTGAGCAAAGACGACTATGAAAGGGAAGAATCGAGAGAAACAAGGCTGCTGGTGAACCAAGTGGAATGGTCATGACGGAAATGGGTTTGTTCTCCTGATAGGCCCACCCTACTTCCCAATTTGATTTTTAATTTATTTTTCTTTTTCTTGAACAAATAGTTCGGTTTAAAAGCAAGGCAGATTCAGAGCAGCGCCTTCTGAGGGTCTGCAGCTCAAGGGCAGTCTCTAGGTCCACAGAGCAGACAAGGGAGCAGCAAGGAGGAAAGCCGTTAGTCAGACTTGCCAGAGCTCATGCTGTCAAAAAGGAGTTTCGTGCCTCAACAGAGGTGAGAGTGAGAACACAGCCATGTTTTATTTAAGTTCTTTTTATTTTCCTCCACACTGGCAAAAGTTCCGAGGGAGCTTAAAGTTTTGTAAACATTTTAACTATCCCTCTTCCCCACCCCCCACTGTTGAATTTACAACGCAAAGGAGAACAGGAGTCCCCATCTCCTTATGCTATTTGATCCAAAAACTATTTACAAGTTTGTAGCAGTCTCTGTATAGTTATTGTACATGTTTAGGAGGGAGGGAGGCACGAGGGATAGGGAGAATGGTGATCCAAAATAATAAAAATAGAAACCAGATATAATCCTCCAAAACCAAACTGCTCTCAGAGCAAACTCCAGCCTTCTCCAGGTGTTGATGACACAAAGGCAAGGTGCTTCACTACAGCGCCTCTTGCACAGGCAGAGCCGGCCCACAGCTCCTTCCAAGGTGTGAATGACCATTCCAGGTGATGTTCTATGGGCGTTTGGTGGAGGCAGGAAGAGTATTTGTCTATGAATAGAGATCGAGTACATTTCTACTTGGCATGAAAGGGTTGGAGGCGGCAGTGACCAGAAGCCAGAGCAGCTTCTCGCTCCCATTCTTGCCCATCCCTTCCATCCCACTGAGTCCTCCTGCGTAGTGGTTTCCATGGATAAAGGTCATAAAGATGGTCAGGTTTTGTACACTCTTTTCAGAAAAGGCAAGCAACTTGCCGTCCCAGAATCTTTACACAAAACCTTTTCAGGGCCACAGCAAAACATGCACACAATGCTCTGAGGAACCAGAATAAAATTCTGAGCTTTTATCGGAAGCAAAGTTTATCACTATCCAAGATGAAATTATACAAATTCATACATATGGTAAAGATCCTAGCTGCCTCTTAAACGAGACAAATTCTCACAGAAGGGGCCAAAACAAACTGGTCCTAGTCTTTTGAAGTAAAAATATTTATGGGCCAAAAAAAAAAAAAAAAATCAGTTTTTGTACGAAAGGAAAATTAAGAGTAAGTCCCTCTCCCAGGCCATAGGGTTTCCTTTGTCCAATAAGGTATGCCAGGGGAGAAGTCACTATCCAATGAAGAAAACATAAATCCTTTCTCTGAAAGGACATTCCAAAAGAACAAATGAGGGTGTGCAATCTCCAACCGAGCCACCTATACTCCACCCCAGGCCTCTGATGCAATCCTGAAGTGAGCATTAGCAGTGGCAAAGCAATCTCCAGACAGAGAACTCTAACTGTATCTGGCGATACTGGAGTCACGATCCAGGGAGCTGTCTACTGGCCATGGCTGTTAACCATTAACTCTCTTCATGACTGCACCAGTTACCCCTTACCCATATTGGGGGTTGTGGGGAAAAGAAAAAACAAAACAGAACAAAAAAGTGACAAGAGAAAGAAAGTAAGTTGCTATTGGCAGATCCCAACACACTTCCAGAAGACAGCAGATGGTATCAATGCACAGTGAACGTGTGCTGCCAACGTCAGCTCTGTTGGGGAGCAATCCCAACTGGCACCCCTAAGATAAAGGGTCTGGTCCACTACGTGCAGTCCGAGATGCTCGCCAACAGCAGTGATTTAAAAGAATCTTGGACACAAAGAGCTAGAAGAAAAGCCTGAGATGACTGATTCTGTGATTTGTTGCAGAGCGATAGAGCAAGTGGTGAGTGCATGTTGTGTCCAAGGAGGAGAGCCACGGTCGTCGGTAGGCAGGAGAGGGAAGGCTGGCACAGCGGCAGGTACTCAATAGTCATCCAGAGTCTCGATCTCGCCCATGTTGAGTCGCTCTGACGATGCATTGACTGAAAACCCTACAAGAAAAAAAAAAATAAGTTTGAGTGGCTATTCAGAACATCAAGTGGCTCACTTCTAAGCAGTGGGCTGCAATTTATTTTAAGTCCCTTGTGTCTGAGTACACTAATGGACACTGAAGGAAGACCAGAGAAAGCTGAAAGTACAGACCCGTGTAACAGGATCTTAGCAATACCTCATTAACTAGTACTGCGGGCTGGAGAGATGGTTCAGTGGTTAAGAGCACTGGCTGCTCTTGCAGAGGACCAGAGTTCAGATCCTAGCACCCACATGGCAGCTAGCAATTGTCCATAACTCCAGTTACAGGGGATCCAATACCCTCTTCTGACCTCCGAGGGTACTGTACGACATGGGTGCACTTACATAGATGCAGGCAATACACTCATACACACGCAATAAAAAGGGAGGGAGGGAAAGAGAAAGAAGAGAAGAGAGAGAGAGAGAGAGAGAGAGAGAGAGAGAGAGAGAGAGAGAGAGAGAGAGAGCGAGCAAGCGCTAGGTGTGGTGGCACACGCCTTTAGCCCAAGCACTCAGGAGGCAGAGGCAGGGGAATCTCTGTGAGTTCAAGGCCAGCCTGGTCTACACAGTGAGTTCTGGGGCTACAGGGAGACCCTGTCTCAAAAAAAGACATCACTCACACCACTACCAATGTTGGAACAAATACCAGTGGTCACATGTATGAACTTTGAAAATAAAACCCATAATCCAAAAGTTGATAAAACTTTAACAGGGCCTCTTTGGAGTGAGCAATTCCCAGAAAGCTTTGCAGCTCCTCTACCTTGAAAGTATCCCTGAACTGTTTCAGCTGCTGTTTAAAAAACCGAAAGCAAACAGGCAATGCCCTCCATTCCAAAAGTAGTTTGTTGGTATTGGTGGGTTTTTTGCAACCCCATTTTTTTATTTCAATGTTCAAGTTTTCAAATACACATTTAATATGTTCCAGTAACACACAAGAAAACGCCTTATATAATAAAACAGCTTAATTAACAGACTCAAAAATACCATGATTTGAAAAAATAAACATGCGTGTTTACTAACCAAGGAAGCTGTGGTACAAGCTGCTGACAAAGCCAGGGAGAGGCCAGGATGCCAAACCCTGTCCCAAAGTTCCACCCATCACCTGTGCACCCGTAACCCGCAAAACTTTTTTCCCTTGGAAATAATGAAAGGCTTAGTGTTCGTATTTTCCAAGTAATGATTTAATTTGGTAGGTATAAAACCTAAAGGCCAACCCTCTATGAAATGAGCTGTTACTCTTCTGAAGCAGGGCTGTCTTTGACCTCATGTCACAAGCAGATGAAATGGGGTAGAAATAATGAGCTGCACACAAGAGAAATGGAAATGTTAATTTTAAAGGAAACAAATTTTAATCAACTAAAAACAGGAAAAAGAGAAGCCCGTGGGGAAATAAAAGACTGTCCAATGCTCTACTGGGGAAGGCTTTCATCAGACATGTCCTGTTCAACTCTCATTTAAAAGCCCAGTCAAGTGTGCACTCAGCCTAGGTAACACAAAGAGGGTGAACCTCCTACGCCTGCTCCACAGACCACATTCTACTCAGTTCAGAGCAGACTCACTGGTATGATTTCTTTAGGCTTATGATACTGTCTTTGTAAGGGAGGAGTGACTGGAAGCTGCATTGTGTATGTACGCTTACCACACCCAAGTGTTGTTTGCTGGTTTACACTGACCATCTAGAGCTCTAAAAACAATTATGACCAGACTAGAATGAAGGAGACTGGGAAGTGAAATAAAGCCTGGGCTCCCTCTGCTGGTTTGTTTTAGAAGTAAGGCTGTACCTTGTTTCTTCAATGGACACTTTTGGATCAAACTGGATCTCATTTTCCCAGTTTGTGCATGGGGAATTTATAACTGATAAAAAGTTTTAAAATGTTCTCAATCTGTAAATTTCAGGGAATAAACACACTGTAATGTAACACATGGAAACTCATAGATCTGATACAAAAATTAGCAATTAACAGAGACATTCCCAGGAGGCTTAAGTGAGCAGCAATTTTCATGAAAGGGTCCATGTGAAAAGCTTGCCTAAATAAGTTTCCTCAATACTTTACTGAGAAGTTGCTTTACTTCTCCTTCAAGATTTATGGAGTCCTTAAACTCTAAGATGATCTATCCATCCTTCCACTTCCTTACAGTGGGAATGTTTAAGTCCCTCCTTTCTAGGATCTATGGCAGAAGATCAAGACTGTATTGCAATGGAGTGACTCACACCTCAAACAGCTGGGCTACATTTGTGGGGACCACTCAAATTTGTAAGCTAAATCACAAGGGGCTTCTTAGTTAGAAGCCACAGAATCTATTCACTTATTTCTGTAAGAATTTTATACTTTCAATCCATCTTGGCTATCAGCTTTTTTTTTCTTTTTAATTAATTCTATTTTTTGTGTATAGATGTATTGCCTGCAGGAGTGTAAGTGCACCCTTGAGGTCAGAAGAGGGTGTCAGATCCCCCAGAACTGGAGTTACGAGTGGTTGTTAGCCACCATGTGGGTTCTGGGAATCGAACCCAGGTCCTCTGCAAGAGCAGTCAGTGCTCTTAACGGCTAAACCATCTCTCCAGCCCTGCTCAGCTTTTAAAACAAGAGTAGGAAACAGAATTCTACCAGATCTACATTCCCAAACCCAGCTCTCAGACACCAATCCATAAGGGCGATCCTCAAAGGCAGGTTTTTATTTCTGGGGGCTGTTTTCTTCAACAGGAATCCTCTACAGTCAAAGGAAGACCCTCCCCAAGAGAGAGGACGGGCACCCCTCCATTTTGCTACATCCACAACCAAGCTCTACCATGCAGGCCTCTAAAAACTGCCCTCAGTCCCTAACACCTGGTCCATTTCCTGTGCCCATCATTTCAGCAAATGGCAGTGCTAGTTGTCTAGCTCCCAAGCCTTTGTACTTTCTCTGGCCAGTTGGTTTTTATCCCCAAGATCTCTGAAGCCTACCCCCACTGTCAAAATCCTATTCCAGGCCACCAATAACACTATTCATCCTTGTGACTGGGCCAACACTCTGCCAAGAGACTCTAACCGACAGCCTGGTTTATATTCACTTCACATTCACACATAGAAGGCAGTTTTAGTTTCATCATTGTTTGTGGGATTGTTAAGCCAATTTAAGAAACACAGGCATATTGGGTGTGGTGGCACACACCTTTAATCCCAGCACTCAAGAGGCAGAGGCAGGCAGATATCTGTAAGTTCAAGGCCAGCCTGGTCTACGTAGTGATTTCCAGTCCAGCTGGGGCTACAGGGAGACCCTGTCCCAAAGCAAACAAACAAAAACAAAAAAAGAGAAAGAAATATAAGCAGCTTGTGTTTATTATTTATGAAACTATCATTCCCCATCCTTCCTGCCAGTCTTTCAAAGTCCTAATTTAGGGGTCACCTTTTTAGGAAGTTGCCTTGTGTGAAGACTGGTGTTTAATACTAGAGAAGACTGTGTCTAACACAGAAGAATGGAAAGCAAAGTGCCCTGCTCTGTAATTACTGCTCCACTGTTTAGGGCCATGATCTAGTCACTGGGAGCCCTAGGACATCACTTCTCAATGTAAAGTCATTCAGACATGGGACATCAACAAGCATAGATTCTTTGAACATTTGGTTAAGATTTATGGTCTGCTTCCAACATAAGTCAGCATTTAAATTGATGAACTAGTTTTACTGTTTTCCATTATCATTATTTTCCAACTTAATTGAATGCCCTCCAGGGAAATTTGCATGAAATTTTAAGCAATGCTTTAACATTTAAAACACTATATAATATTATTATTCTGCTTATTCCAACAACACACTGAGACATAGCTCCTATACAGAGATACCCAGGAAATACTGGCTACTTTATACAGTTAATGGATCTTTACATGAAAGACTGTGGTTATTCCATCTGACTACTGCCATCTCCTGAGTCTTCCCTGCCCCCGCTGGGCCTCCAGGCCTATTCTCACCTAATAAACTGGGATCTGCTCGAACCATCTTCTGCTTTTTCTTCTTCTTGCCACTTTGCACAGCCTCAAAACTGGATTGTTGGTTGTTGCTTTGATTGGTCTGAAATACTGAATGGAGTGTACTGTGGTTCATCCCCCACACAGAGTCCTGTGGAACAAGAAACAAGATGGCACAAATAAGATTCTATGTGGGTGCAGATGTGGTCTACTCTAAGAAACGGCTGACTCTCCATCACCTCACCACACAAAAAACAAAAGGCCTGGTGAGATGGCTTGGAGGGCTACAGTGCTTGATGACCTGAGTTTGACCCCCAGAACCAAGTGAACCAACTCCACCAAATTCCCCTTACCTCCACACACATACCACGGTGTGGACACAGACACGGACATGGACACACACACACACACACACACACGCACACACGGAGAGGGGGGGAGGGCCTGCATTCCTTTAGAGAGAGAGAGAGAGAGAGACAGACAGACAGACAGACAGACAGACAGACTGAGACTGAGACTTTAAAAAGCCTAAACCACTGGGCGTGGTGGCGCACGCCTTTAGGCCCAGGACTCGGGAGGCAGAGGCAGGCAGATCTCTGTGAGTTCAAGGCCAGCCTGGTCTACACAGTGAGTTCAGATCAGCTGGGACTACAGGGACACCCAGTCTCAAAAAGACAAAAATAAATAAAAAATAAAAAGCATAACCAGTTCTAGCACCACAGGAACAGAGAAGGCCACTGAGCTTCCTGTCCTCATGTGTATAACAGCACCCCATTTAAACTTGATGTTTCCACAAAGCCATTCCCCAAACTCCAAGCTTTCACTCTGGCTGTGCTAGAACAACTGTACTAAGTTATCTAGCAGGTGTGTGTCTATGCCATCCATTAGGAAATGCAATATGCAGGACACCAGGTCTCTGCACTACCGCAGTGCACACCTCTTGCCAACCCAAGCATAAACGTCTTGGTTCTGTGGGAACTAGCTGGCAGTATACTACCAAGGGTCAAGGTCATAGATGTTATTCATATCAGCAATCCTAGAAGGGATTTGGTTTCCAAATATTACCCATGCAACACTTCCTGCCAATTGGTTAGACTATAAAATAGTTCACTAATTCTTTGTTCTTTTAATATTTTACTTGTTATTTTTATTTTATGTGTATGAGTGTGTTGCCTGCATGTAGGTAAGTGCACCCATGTCATATAATGCCCGCAGAGCACAGAAGAGGCCATCGGATCCCCTGGGACTGGAGTTATGCACAGCTGTTAGTCGCCATGTGGGTGCTGGGATTCGAACCCAGGTCTTCTGCAAGAACAACCAGTGTTCTTAACTGCTGTGCCATCTCTCCAGCCCCTAATTCTTTGTTCTTATTTGTCATCCTTATTAGAACAATTCACTTTAAAGTGGATCAGTTGTAAGGAGCCAGTTCAAAGACTTGGGATAACAGCAGGGGAGGAGTGGAGAGATCACTGTAGAAGGACATGCCCAGGGCCCATGTCTGCACATTGGGATTCCTTTACTGTTTCAGCCCCAAGAGGAGGCCCCTCTACAGGTGCAGGATTTCCTGCACCACCTCATACTACGTGTTCCTGCGATGCCCTCAGACATCTGTTCTATTGTTTTCTGGTACTGACACCTGCCACTTCCTCTTAATTTACTCATGATTCCAATCCACACAGCTAGGTTTACTTTGTTTTTTGAGACAGGGTCTCACTATGTAGCCCTGGCTGATCTTGAACTTACAGAGCTCCACCTTGCCTTTGCCTCCCAAGCACTGGGATTAAGGGCATGCACCACCACATCCAGCCACACAGCTAGAACCTAAATTTTGCCTTATGCTATAATGTATCTTCTACATCTCTAGAGGTGATCCGTAACAAATATTTATTACCTCTAGTAGAAAACAATGGGATTCAGAGACAGGATTTTTCTAATGCCTCCCATTATAAGCTCTGCCAACTTGTCTTTTAGGAAACTTACACTGCCAATCCTCAAGAATTCCAAGTTTAATAGTAACCCCCAAATTACAATCATTCCAAGCATACACATGTTCAGAGCAGAAAAAAAAAAATCTGCAATACCCAAGGCCCACACTCCAAGTTGAGGCAAGACAAAAAGCATTCTTCTTGTCGTGCTTCTCATCCTGTGTACAAGTATTTTCTTCAGTCTGCCTAGCACAATGCTTTTCACGTCTTTGTGCTTTTTGTAGATGATCTCACTGTTTAAATGGCCTCCAATTATAATGTATAAGTGATATCTATGCTCCTTAGTGCAAAAAGGCTATGCTATATCTTATGCTAATAAGTGTAGGTAAGCCTTGTACAGCATTACAGCTTTACTGGCAGAGTTCAATGTTAATGAATCAACATAGAGTCATATGTCAGTACACAGAAACTTGTAAGGCAAAATTATGTGATTACATGCTGAAAATGTAATGAGACGTTCAGAGAACTTAGCCTTGTAGAGATTAAGCCTTGTAGCCTTAGAGACAGTGGTTCAATGTTCACAGGAACTTCATAGTCCTGTGAACAGAGCTGGAGTGAGTGACAACAACCTATGAAATATCTGGCATGCTGCATATATTGTAACACTGTTGTCAGTACCTAATAGAGGAGAATTCAAGTGCCCCCCGCCAAAACCCCACTAAACCAAATTTATGGGCCACGTTGGAATCTGCAGTATGACTAAAACAGATACAGAATCAAGAATGTGGAGACTGGGGTGTCTTGTACAGAATAAATGGCTGTATTTGCTGTCTGTGACAACTGCACAGCTGTGTCATTTGAACATATGAAGTTCACATAATTTGAAAAGTTTTAGTCACTGGATGTACAAGAATGAAATCTTGGTTTTAATTCCTCTGGCTACTCAATAAGAAAGGCATGAGCACTCAGAGGCAATGCACACACCGGTCACTTTATACCTGCTGCTGCTGCTGCTGCTGCTGCTGCTGCTGCTGCTGCTGCTGCTGCTGCTGTCTCTGCTGGTTGGCTTTCTGTTTGGCACGGCGCTCAAGGAACTGCTTGGCAAACTCCTTGGCCTCAGAAGTATCTCCTAAATAGGCCCTGATATAGTCATGGACTTCATAAGGAGATTCTACTTCTTTCAAGAAAGAAACAAATGTGGGAACTGCAACAAGGGAGGGAAGAGGACATAAGACAGTGACAATGAAATAAACATCATGTACAAAGACAATCAACCTCAGGCTCTAACACACACCATTTAACACAGGCATTAGCAAAAGAAACCTGAAAGCTACACAGCTGGTGTGGTAGATAGTCTTTCATCTACTTTATAGAAATGAGAAAGCATCATCACAATGCCCCAAATTATCGGAAATAGCAGTGCTAAACAAAGACATATCACACATTATTTAATTTCACCAAATGCTATGTTGGGTGAAACTAGATGTTACACTGATTGAAATAATTACTTGCCTAAGGCTAAAGCAATGTGGGGATTCATTCCTTCTTTCCTCTAATTTAATCAATAATTTATTAAGTGCTATGATGTGTGCCAAGTACCATTACAGTTACTAAAGATACAGCTATATCCTCTGGAACCTGTAATTCACTGAGGTATTATGTGTTTAGAGAGCAATCAAGTGGAAAATGCAAATAGTGTGGTTTCAGAGAAAAAGCACAAACACCAGGGTTAGACAGACATGGGTTTAAAACTTGATTCTTCAGTCTGCTGGCTGTGTGACCTTGATGAGTTACTTAACCATTCTGAGCCTCTGTTTCCTAATTTATAAAATGGGGATAATATCACCTACCTTATAAAGAGATATTGAAATTTTACTGCAAAAATCAAATAAATGGGGTAACATATGTTAGCCCCAGTGAGTGCCTAGCACATGGTAGGTGCTTAATGGATGGTAGCCACTACTATTACGCACAGCTTTTGTCTATGTAGGCCTCCAGACCATTAGGTAATATTTCAATGCTTCAAAGGAGTCTTTCAATTCTTTTACTGCTGTATTTTTAACAGAGTCTTGGCTTTAGGCCAGATATCAGAGGTAGACTACCTCACCTTGATCTATCAGTTATGGAAATCCCACCTACAGTTATGATAATAGTCACTTCAAATATTTAGGGATGGGGACACACTTCCATCTAAGGGAGACAGCTCTCTGCAAATTACTCACTGTTTACTAACAAGCTTTCTTCAAATTGTGCTGAAACCTTTGCATTTCTACTCGTAGTCTTATCCCATACAAAAGTCTACTTCCTCTATCATAATTTCCATCACTTCCCCAAAGATAGGAAGGGATTGATGCCACATCACCCCAGTATTCTCCTGACCAGGCTGACTCTGTTCCCTCACCATGGCATTTAACTTTCTCCTAAATGATAATACAGCCGGCAATGTCTCCCATAAAATGGGTAATGGGGAATGATATGATGTCCTTTATCCTGTACACATCATTAAGGTGGCCTGAGATGGCATAACCACTTATAATCTAATGGAGAATAATTTTATAGGCCTTTTCTCATGAGTATTTAAATTAAGAGTCAAGTTTTTAACGGCAGGTTCAGGACTTGACGACCACAGATTTCATCTCCTGTGATTGGCTTCACTGTTCCAATCTGCCAACCTCTTTGTAGCTCCTGCTCTGTCAATCCACATGCTGGGATTCCCTTCCCAATTCTTACCATCCAAGTTATTTGCCGTATTAAGGGCATGAAGCATCTGTTCACACCACTGGGTAAATCCATCTTGGGCTTTATTTACTCCCTGAAAGAGCTTCAGCAACTTTTCTTCTTCTTCTACTTTCTTATTCTGCCGGTTAGACACACCTACAGATTTACTAAAGCAAAACAATAGGGCGATATTATATTCCCAGAAACTGTTACTATGTGATTATACTACAACACCATAAATACTGTCTAGGCAACACTGGATGGCTGGCCAGTGAGCTAATTCTTAGCTTCATAAAAAATTTTAAAAATTTTAAGTCAAATATTTAGATCAGATCACCCCTTAAAATCTAGCCTCAAGCTAAAATACCCTAGTTTTTGAATATAGGGCTTCTATTTAGAGAAAATACTGAAATTCTTCCTACAAGTTCTCAGGTAAGCTGTTTAATTTACTAAGCCTCAGTTTCCTCATATGTAAAACAGTGCCATCACTTCTTTGGGTTATGATAAGGAATAAAGATAATTGTGTGTAAAGGCCTACACCATAGTAGTGCCTGGCAAAGAAGCTCAATAACTAATGAATTTATTATTTATTTTCCTTAGGTCCTTAATCAAAAAGAACCTGACAACACTACCATTTATTAAGTAGTTACTATGTGCCAGGCACTTTATTTCACAGTGTATTGCTTAGTCTTTACAACTGCACTCATGAAGCTACTATTATCTTCATTTTACCGATGAGGGAACTGAGGCCCAAAAAAGGTTCCCTCTTGCCCAAGGTCACACAGCTAATAAGTGGTAGTGCTGGGATTTGAGTTCATGTATTTAACAATAAACCCATGCTCATTCGACAACACTGGCTAGTGAGGAAAGAAAGATGAAGGTGAAAGAGAACTAATTTGTCATAAAAATATGTTTAAAGCTATTACGTAAGTGTGTCATGCTCATTATAGTATAAATAACTTAAAAATACAAATTAGAAAAAAATGCTATGTAGAGAATACCTTGGAGAAATGGTCAACAACAAAAACTTATTCTGTTATTATTTATGTGGTAGGCAATGGATTAAGTGCTCAGTAGTAGAAAGAGCCTCCAAGAAACAATTCAAATATTTTTGTACTGGGAAGAAAGCAATCACCACAATCAAGACTTACGTGCTTGAGCACAGATCAAAGTACATAAAAACCACCACCCACCACCCTACTTCCACCACCCCCATATCCCACCCAATCAAGGGACACAGGTGTTATCATTATGAGTCCTACCTGAGACTGGCGTTGTTTTTATTTTTATTTGTTGAATTCCTAGGTCCCACCTCTTTCACTGCATCATCCCAGAATCCCATGTTGGAGTTTTTAGTGTCGGCATTACTCCAGATACTACTGACTAGGTCAGATGCCCACTGGTTAGGAGGACCAGTATTTATAGAGCCCCAAACGGAATTCCCAATGCTGGTGTGCAGGTTGGAATGCTGTTAACAAAGAGACAAAAAGATTTTGGTTAACTACTAAAAAGGTAGCTCACAATAGTCTAAAAGATCACCTAACGAAAGTCCACACAAATACACTGGGAAATGAACCCACTGTGTTATTCCGGGCTCTGTTTGTTTGCTGGTGCTGCTGTTGCTGCTGCTGCTGCTGTTTCTGCATCTGCCTGGCCTCTTCCTGCTGGATCTCCAGAAGAGACTTCGTGGTACCTGCAGGTTTGCTGACATTCCCCCACCCTGAGAGTTTCTGCTGCTGCTGCTGTTGCTGCTGCTGCTGGAGAGCTTTCATCAATTCCCTCTGCTGACGTCGCTGCTGTTGGATGAAAAAAAGCTGAGACTAGATACAAACATCAGGATACTAAATAAAATACTAATACACAGAGCTAAACAAAACCCAGAGAGGGTTAATTCTTTTGCTAACTAAAAATATAAACAGCAAGAGGTTCTGCATGGTACAAAGAGACTAAATAAGGAATTACTTCTTACAAATTGAGTTTTTGGTTAAGCATAAAAATGAAATAAATCTTTACTTCTCAAAGCTCCACCAAAATATAAATATACACTTTTTTTTAGTTTGTATTTAGCTTTGAAACAGGATTTCACCATACATAGGCCAGGTTGGTCTAGAACTCAAGATCTTTCTGCCTTAGTCTCCAAAGTACTAGGGTTACAGGTGGGCACCACATGCTCAGCTATATATATGTTTAGAAGCATAAACCAGTAACAAAGTGAGAAAAGATTTTTAAAGTTGGAAAGCAGGGCTAGGGAGAGCAGGCATGAGGGCATTTCAATCCCCAAACCCTACCTGAAAAGGTCAGGTGTGGTGGTACATACTTATAGTATTAGCAGTGGGGGTGGTGGTGGGGTGGGTATAGACAGGCAGATCAGTAGGGTTCACTGGCCAACCAGCCTAGCCTAGTTGGTGAGACCCAGGTCAATGAGAGATGCTGTCTCCAAGGGGAAAAAAGAGGGGGTGGACAGTTCCTGATATCCTCTGATTTTTCCACATATGCATGTATGCATAAATAAACAGAAAGGAAGCTGGAAAGCAGGTAGGTTAATTAACTAGTGTAACAGACCCAATAAATTAAAACCCAAATAAAGGAAGCTAACAAACAGACATGCTTATATAGAAGCCCAAGAACTGGAGCTGTTTACATGGTATCTCAAAGGAAAACTGACTGCAAACAAGAGTGAGACTTTGAACTGCCTCCCTCTGTCTGTCTCTCTTACCCAGGCAGAAAACTAAATTTCCATTTAAAAAGGCCAACACAGACTGGCAGGTTATTCTACAGATAAACTGACCAGCACAAGTGAATGCCCGAGTAGGTACCAACGTATGAGGGACACTCCCCCAACTCAACAGCCCAGAGAGAAACCACCACCACCAAGACGGCACACACAGTAGAACCTCCAATGAGCTTTTCAGAGTCTAATTTGTAAGTATGAACAGATAGCCCAAACTTACTAACACTTAACACACATTTCTGAGATAAAAGCCAAACACAAATACATTCAATTCAGTGAAACAAGATAAGGAAAAAGAAACAGCTTTTATTTTATTTATTTATTTTGGTCTTTTTGAGACAGGGTCTCCCTGTGGCTCGAGCTGTCCTGGAACTCACCATGTAGACCAGGCTGGAATTGAACTCACAGAGATCCGCCTGCCTCTGCCTCCGGAGTGCTGGGACTAAAGGCGTGTGCCACTATGCCTGGCTAAGAACCAGCTTTTAAAAGAGTTATTAGCAGATAACTTAGAGAATTAAGGTGGTGCATTCAAAAACAAGAATAAAGGCTATAGAAACATACTACAATACAACACAAAACAAAAAACTCAGAAACGTAAAACAGGATAGCATATATTAAAGGCTGATGTTGCATAAGCTTGTCCTCCTGGCAAACTAAACTGACAAGCTATAGCCATGCCTCCTTCCCAAGTCTGGCTGCACCTGCTCCTATAGGATTATAAACTTGACTGCTGACCTGCAAGAAAGGAGAGTCAGGGGGGAGTCAGTCACCACTCCCACCCAATCAGTCAGCCTTAGCTGAATGAGGGGGAGGAACTAAGGATAGGGACAGGAAAAGCCAGAGAGAGGGGTAGCCTTTGCCATCTTGGACACCTACCTGGAGGTCAGAGGGTCCCAGACGCAATGTAGGAAGGAAGCCCACACAAGCCCAAACCTTTGTAAGTAACCCCCACCCCCAACCCTCTGCTCTGTTAGTAAGCCCAATAAATTCTTTGGTTCCCTAAACTAGTTTGGAGGAATATTATCAGTTTGTCATAAAGATGGCGGGAGGAGGGAGCTGGAAGCCGCGCACAGTTCCCATTTAACTACAGCTGAATAGAAGGACTTAAATAAAACTGAAGAAATACTCCCATCAAAGAAGATACAAACAAACAGAGATGGAAAAGAGGAGAAATCAACATCCATTGAGGACAATCACACAACTGACAAGAATTCCAGAAAGAAGAACAAGAGCTGCACAGCATTAAGAATATCCAGACTGAACAAATTAGAGGGTCCTAGGCAGGATGCTCCAGGGGAAAAAATGAATATTATCTTAGGTTTCTCCATATGACAAACAGGCATTGAATAAATAGCATTTTATGCTCTGGAAAGTATAGGCAGAATTAAAGGTTCAAAAAGTTTGAATCAAATGAAAATACATGTGAGGCAATATTTAACTTCTGGGAAGCAAGGAAAGGGAGGGGGGTATAGCTGGGAATGTAGTTCAGCAATACAATGTCTACTTAAGCATGCATGGGGAGCTGTGATTTCCATTCATTACCATTATTATTATTTTTTCACTCAACTGAGACCAAAATCATTAGAACAATTTCTAGCCTTGAAAACAGGAACACTCTGCTTCACATCCATTCGCTGATAGTGTTTTAGAGGAAGATGATACCAGAAGTAAAGTTTAATCCTTTTTTGCGTGTGTTTAAATAAAAATGAGAAATAAGGCAATTAATTTTAAGGTGGAGAAACATTTTAAGCTACTGGATGATGTTCATTTATATAGTAATATGTGCTGACAACTTCCACCCCTCTTAGCAGTACGTCTATGGCTGCCCAGGTTCAGTGAACTACACAAGATTCAAACATGACAACCTACATTCTCCAGCAAACTGACTGATCTGCCTCAAGTGCCATCTATATAAGCATGTTCTTCCAGATGGCAACACCGTGTCACCTTTCTAGAGGCCTTTGCAGAGCAGACTTCTTAAGTACAGACAATCTATCCCATCCCTTGTGCTATTCACAACTGCCATGCCCTCTCCCCACTCTTTTCCTGCTGGTAACGCTCTTCCCTCTAACACTTCTTATTCTCCAGTGTGTCACACAGTTTTTTAATTTCTGTGTTCCATCTTTCCTCAGCTAGCGGACAAGGGCAAGTTCATAGTAGCAGAGAGTTTCATAAATTTTACACTTGGCTACATTCCCTTCCTATAAGTATGTGTTGAATGAATCAACAAACAAGACATCTAACGACAGGCCTCATAAATTAATCATTTCCCTCCCTGTCAAAAACTATTATTCTTGCCCTTCTCTCCAACTTTTTTCCACTCTTTTGTAGCCTCTCCAAGCCTTTGAAGAACTTCAGACACTTTATTTTTGTCATATTACAGATTTTTCTGGGCTAGTCCGAGGCCCCAAGACCTTTTAAAGAAAATTGTGTGCTGCATTCAAAACATCAAATTTTCAAAGGGATGTGTGATGATTAGTGTCAATTGTCAATTGACAGGATCTAGAATCACAGGGCAGATCAGTCTCTGAACCAAGACTCTGAGGGATTATCTTAATTACACTGGTTGAGATGAGAAGACTTGCTTGCTGTGGATGGCCCCATCCCCTGGCTAAAACCCTGGAATATGTTAAGTAAAATGGGAGAGAAGAACTGGGCAACAGCACACATTCACCCTTTTCTCTTCCCTGACTGTAGATGTGATATATGACCAGATGCTTTAAGCTCCTGCTGCCTCGGCTTCCCCACCACAACGGAATCTCTTGACCTGTGAGCCAGAATAACCTTTTTCCTCCCTAAGTTGCTTTTGTCAGGGTATTTTGTCACAGGAACAGGAAAAAAAACAAAGATAGGATGTAACAAAACTTACTACAATTCTGAATAATCTATGTAGTTTGAAAAATATAATACTTCAAGGCCGGGCGTGGTGGCACACACCTTTAATCCCAGCACTCGGGAGGCAGAGGCAGGGCTGAGTTCAAGGCCCCTCCTGGTCTACATAGTGAGTTCCAGGCCAGCTGCGGCTACAGGGAGATCCTGTCTCAAAAAAGACCAATATAAATCTTTCATATCTGCCAAGATAACCAAATCACAGGCTAGAGTTTAGTAGCAACAAGTCAAATCCAGACACGCAGTAATTCTGACAGTAACCATCACCTTCAGGACCCATCGGCCCCATAATGCACACGAAACCTTCTGACACTGCTCAACCATGCCATTCTTACTTTATAATTTACCTCTTCTCGAAGCTGCCGTTCTCGTTCTTCTTCCAGCTTTTGAATTTCGGCCAATGACAGTGTGGCCTGGGACTGACACGTTGTCGTATTAGACTGCTGGCCCCATGTTGAAGAAGAGGGAAGCTAACAAAAAATGGGAAGACAGGAGAGTTTTGTCAGGAAATGCAGACCCAAAACAAGGAGGCACAGCGTGTTGTGTATAGCAGAGTGCTATCTTTCCTCATTCCCAGCATCCATTTTGCAATTCTTTCTCCGTACTATTCTCTCAACTGGTTTGCGTTTCCTCGTCAAGTTTTTGTCATGGCTCCAACCTAGTTTATTTTAAAACAACTAAAAATACACATATACATAAGTATTTCCTCTACCACTTGGGAAGCAAATTTATCTAACATCTAACACTGACACATCTAGCAACAGATCATCAAAAGCAAAAGGAGCAACAACAGGACCGGGCGCGGTGGTGGCTGTGCACACCTTTAGTCCCAGCACTTGGGAGGCAGAGGCAGGTAGATCTCTGTGAGTTCCAGGCCAGCTGGGACTACAGGGAGACCCTAACTCAATTTTCTTTAATTTATCTTTTTTTTTTTTTTTTTGAGACAGGGTCTCCCTGTAGCCCCAGCTGGCCTGGAACTCACTTTGTAGACCAGTCTGGCTTTGAATTCACAGAGATCCACCTGCCTTTGCCTCCCAAGTGCTGGGATTAAAGGTGTGCGTCACCATGCCTCGCAGAGACCCTGTCTCAAAAAGGAAAACAAACAAACAAAAAAAACAGCATAATAATGACTAAGTTGGCAAGGCAACAAAGGACAAGACCCTCTATCAGCCTGTGAATGGCTTGGCTTGTAACAAGACTTCTGAAGGAGAGCAGAGGAGAGCAGTGAATAGAAGAGGTCGGGTAGTTTTCCATGAAAGACAGTTAATGCTAATCAGGCTGTAGCTCCAGTCACAAAAATTAAGCTGTTTTGGGCTGGAGAGATGATTTAGCAGTTAAGAACACTGGCTGTTCTTGCAGAAGTCCCAGGTTCGAATCCCAGCACCCACGTGGCAGCTAACAGCAGTTAAGAACACTGGCTGTTCTTGCAGAAGTCCCAGGTTCGAATCCCAGCACCCTCATGGCAGCTAACAGCTGTCCATAACTCCAGTCCCAGGGGATCAGACAGCCTCTTCTGACCTCTGTAGGCATTGCACAATGGGTGCGTTTACCTACATGCAGGCAATACACACACATAAAATAAAAATAAAAAATAAAATATTAGAAGAAAAAAAAATTAAGCTGTTTTTAATCAACAATTCTACCTTTTCCATCCTTTAAACTACTGAATGAAACAATAAAAATATGTGATCCCGAAAACGCGAATCTTCTAAGCCTTGCTCTTCTTTGGCCAAAAAAATAGTAATCCTTTAGGGGGCTGGTGAGTTGGCTCAGTAGCTAAGAGTTCTGGCTGCTCTTCTAGAGGACCTGGGTTTGGTTCTTAGCGCCCACAAGGCAGCTAACAATCATCTGTAACTCTAGTTCCAGAGAATCCAGTGCCCTCTTCTGGCCTCCATGGGCACTGCATACATAGTGCTTTCACATGCATGCAGGCAAAACATTCATAAACATAAAATACAATACAAATTTTTTTTTTTTTTGGAGACAGGATCTTCCCTGCACCCCCAGCTGGCCTAGAACTCATTATGTAGACCAGGCTGGCTTTGAACTCCCAGAGATTCACCTGCCTCTGCCTCCCAAGTGCTAGGATTAAAGGTGTACACAGCCACACCCAGGCTGTATTTTGTTTATTTTAATCCATGTTCATATTTATTTATTAAATATATTTTAAAATATGGTTAGAATTGGAGACTTTGCTGTTCTTGTTAATTTTGGAACATAAGATATTACTAAATACTATCATTTAAAAAAATATTTGCTGGGCGTGCTGGTGCACACCTTTAGTCCCAGCACTTGGGAGGCAGAGGAAGGCAGATCTCTGTGAGTTTGAGGCCAACCTGGTCTACATAGTGAGTTCCAGGCCAGCTGGGGCTACAGGGAGACCCTGTCTCAAAAAGACCCAAAATACTAAATAGTCCCAAAAGGGAATGTCTATAGTATAAATAACCAGCGTAATAATGACGTAAGAGGAAGTGACAGCATGACAGGTGTAAGCATGAAGCTGTCATCCACATTACAAATAGCAAAAATGCCCTAAGACTGCTCCACATAGTCAGCCCTTAGCCACTTGGCCCAATATGGTAGCAGTAGGGCATTTATTTCAAAATAACCCATGTTAGGATAAAGGAAGGGCCCAGAGGGATGGTACCACAGAAAAGGGTGGTAGGGGCTATGTAGGTAAAATTGAGGAAAAAGAAATATTTTTCCACAGGAAATGACACACTTAGAAAGCACTATCAAGATCAAGTCAGAGCTGAGCAAGGTGGTACATGCCTATAATCCCAACGGGACGATCAGGAGATTAAAGGCCAGGTTCAATTATATACTCGGCCACTCTGGGCTACATATGACTATCTTTAAAAATAAACAAAATGGTCAAATCTGACAGCAGCCACTCAAGAGACTTATATAATGTCTTGGTTCTACAGCACTTAATCACAAAGCAGATTCAGAAATGAAGCAAAAAAATTGACTATCTTTGCAATTCTAATACAGTCAATTTGCTAGTAACCATAGATATTACCTTCCCAGCAAGCTAAACACTTGCTCTACCACACTCTATAGTTTCTGCCTATGTCCTTCAGATCTGGGCAGTAAGCACATTCAGGCCTAAGTACTACCAAGGTTGTTCTTTCCCACTAGCCCTTTCCACTCATCCTCACCAGCACCATCACACCCTGTTTACTGGACTCCCAGTCTCCATTTTCAACTTCAAACATTTTTATACAATTTTTTTTTTTGTTTTTTGAGACAATGTCTAGCTGTAGCACCACCTGGCTTGGAACTCACACTATGTAGCCTGGAACTCACAGAGATCCACCTGCCTCTGCCTCCCAGCGCTGGGATTAAAGGCATGCACCACCACTCCTGGCTGTCTTTACACAATTTTTAATAACCCTCCATAGTCAGCTGTGTTTAAGACCTGTGTTCTAGCTCTTACTTGCACCAGCAGGTTCTGTTGGGTCTACTGCTCTCACAGACTGTTGAGCTCTCTTCTGTGTGTGATCTTTATGTCAGCAATGCTGAGCTAGTCGAGAAAGGCACTTAAACCCTCATGGCACCCCACTGAATACATGAACCAAGCAGAATAACTTGTGTGTGCTTACACTGCTGCTCATGTCCTATCCCCATATGTTATACTTCTCATTAAAACGCCTGTTACAACATATACGCATCATATTTAATTCTGTTGATGGATCGAATATCTGGTATAATATTCAACAACCAAAGGACAGTTTCACTGCTACTGACACCGCCAACTGCCTGACGAAAACACTGATGAGCTAGGACTGTACCTTCATTTGTGCAAGCTGTTGTTGCTGCTGCTGCTGCTGCAGCCTTCGGAGGGCCTCTTGCTGCTGTTGCCTCTGGCGCATCAGCTCCTTCTGCCGCTGCAGTTCCAGCTCTTTCCTCTTTCGTTCCTCCTCCTCATGCCGAAGTCTGGCTGCCTCCTCTTCCATTCGAAGTCGGTTCTCTTCTAATCGACGCTGGGCTTCTTCTTCTTCCCGGGCCCATTTGGCAGCCTCCTCTTCCTTTCCAGAAGGAAACATTTTTTATTAATTGTAGGGAAAAAAAATGAATCACTTTTAAAGGCTTCTATTACGATGGTAGACAGAAATGACAGAGTGCAAACCTGCTTGGGATGACACAAGGAAGAAATGAGTTTTACAGGGGGTCACAAAGGCCTGATGGTGCTCCAGGATGCAACCCTAATAGATGATAGAACTGTTATTTTGGAAGTCTATGGCAAAAGCTCTGATCTCAAAGGGGCTCTCCTCTACCTGCTGCTACATCTTAACACCTTTGATGCTGTAAGCTAAGCGACCTTTCCAGGATGCTGCACAAGAAGCTACACCTGGCAAGAACAATGGTCTAGGACTGGAGTGAGAGCAACTCAAGTCCACTACATTCTACTGTTGACTCAGTCCTGATGGCCCATAGACACTCTGGTCTTCCAAAACACCTCTTCTTAACCAATTCTTTACCATCTACTTCTTTTCCCTCACCTGGATTCATTCCACTAAAACTAGTCCACTCTGCAGAGTTGGTATGCTATGGCTACAATGCTCTACCTTGCTCAGATAACATGTTCTCCAAGCTTAGATCAGTTATCTGAGCTAAGATCCTTTGGGAGATGGACTCCCCTCTACTTTTACTCTCAAAAGGTATCTCATCCAGCTGTTCCCCTATGTTGCAAGAAATACATGCTTTAATTCCAGCCCTCCTCTGAGTCTGAGACCAGCCCAGTCTATATAGTAAGTTCCAGACCACTCAGGGCTACATAGTCAGACCCTGTCTCAAAAGAGGGGAAAAAAAGGGGGGGGACGATGACCAGATTCTGCTTTAAAGCTTCCAAATGTAACTAGGAACAGTCATGTAATCTGACTTAGCCAAAGTGACATCTACTTGGGGAATTCTAAGACAGACATCCGTCTTAGACAAAAGGAACAAAGCATAGACAAAGACCATTCCTTTTTTTTGAACAGAGGTTATACACGGGTATCATATCAAAAATTACCAGCTATGAGGTGAAGAATATGAGTGCAAATGTCAAGCAACAAGTAGTAGCAAGGCTCTGTATACAAATGACCTGAATCCTAACAGCCTCACTGAGTCAGAGCCAAGTGTACAGCAGGCGATTTATAGTCAGATTTCCTTGGTATGTGAGGCAAGACTGTCATCTATTGTGTCAGCCACTTTAAGATAGACGTTTCAGTTTTGCACCTTAAAATACACTAACCGTGGCACTTATTTCTTTTGCATTTACCACTCACACAGTCTGTGAGCTTGTTGAAGACAAACATTTTTGAAAAAAAAAAATGTATTGATACTTGCTGGGTATGGTGGCACAGACCTGTGCCTCCCAACACTTGGGAGGCTGAGGCAAGAAGATCTCAAGTTTCAGACTAACCCGGGCTACATAGTGAGACCCTGTCTCAATACCTCATCCTACCAAAAAAAAAGTCTTACCCTCTATCAAAAAAGACAAGTACAATAACTGGTATCAAGCACACTGACTAAAGGTACCTGCTAAAATGAGTCAGTGTACAAGCCATTTTCTTCTAAAAGAATTCTAGCTTCTGAAAGAGTTTCCATTTAGAACCTAGTTGTAAAAATAAAACAAATATTCATATTCTTAAGTGTTGACTGTACATAGTGACTTTCAAACAGCAGAGTGAGGGGGAAAAAAAACAATATACACTGTTTCAGCCATGATCAAGCTTCACATCAGCAGTTACAAACCCCTTGATGTGTGATGAAAATACCACATTGTCTCTGTGATCTTCCTACCCAACAGCTATAAGCCCAGCCTACTTATGAGAAAACTTCAGGCAATTTCAATAAAGGGTTATCTGATGTGCTGGATAACTTTACTGTCAACTTGACCCATCTGGGTTGAGGGAGCCTCAATTGGGGAATTGCCTCTATTGGACTGGCCTGTGGCCATGTCTGAGGGGCATCTTCTTGATGAGTGATGTGGGAGGGCCCAGCCCACTGTGGGCGGTGCCACCCCTGGGCAGGTGGGCCTGTGTTGCATTAAGAAAGCAGGCTGAGCAGGGGCCAGGGGAGCAAGCCAGTAAGCAACATTCCTCCATGGCCTGTGCTCCAGCTCCTGCTTCCAGGTTCTTGCCCTGAGTTCCTACCTTGGGCTCCCTGATGAACTGGGAGATGTAAGCTGAATAAACCCTTTCCTCCCCAAGTTGGTAGTGGTCAGAGTGTTTTGTCACAGCAATGAAGAAACAAACCAGAACACCCGATGAGATTAATATTTGTTAAAATTATAAAGGTTATCAAAAACAGAAAGGGATAGAGGATTGTCTAGTAGCAAAGCACAAGCTTAGCAAGACTATGAGTTGGGTTCAATCCTCAAAGGCACATTTTAAAAATATTAAGTCTGAGAAACTGTCACAGTCAAGAAGGACCTAAGGAAGCATGACAGCTAAAGGTGATACAATCACTTGGAATGGAATCCCATAACACAGGAGGATGCTCATACTCACTTAGGCGATCTGATAAAACAACAGTTTTGTTAATAATAAACTAAATTATAGTGCATGTACCATACTAATGGAGGTATTTTCCCAATTTATCTGAAAATCTGAAACTATTCTAAAAATAAAGTTTATTAGTAAATAAAAGTCTATGTTTTTAAA